CCCACCTGCTGCCACTGCCCAGGGCCCCTGCGCTGAGGGCACCAGTCCAGGCCCGCCCCCCGTGGCTGAGGCTCAGGCATGGACATGTTTTTACCTGATACCCCAATAACACCAGGTAATACTTGCAGGCGTGATGATTCCTCTAGTCCTTGTCGTGGCCAGAGGTAGGTGCTATTCTGCTTGTGCACAAGTGAGGAGACAGGCCTAGAGAGATCCGGCGATGTGTCTGAGGTCATGGCCAGTGGGGCTGGGCTGGGGTCTGCTCCATGGCACCCTGGCTCCTGTGATTGCAGACCCCTTCATGGGAGCTGCACTGAGCACCTGTGTGGCCAGGAACGGGGCGGGGAGGGTCGAGGGCACCGCAGACAGGAGACCCAGCAGGGGCCGAGTGCCCAGAGAGCCGGGTTCTCTTGGAGGCACAGGGACAGACCCCCTTGGCTCTTACCAGAAACCTGCCTGAGGTTCGTGATGAGCAGTACATTCCAGGTGGGGACACAGGGGCTGGGAGCCTGTCAGACTCAAGGAAGATGCATGAGCAGCTTCTGAGATACCATGACCCTGGCCCACCTCTGCCCCCCAGAGCGCTACATTCCGGCCTACGCACACGTTTCCTGTCCCCTGGCTTCCCCTCTCACCCAGTGTAAGCCATTCACCCAGCAAAGTGCTCTTAAAAATAGGTCAGGTTTGGTTCCATCCCTGCTCAGAACATCAGGCTCAGAACAAAACCCAGGCTCCTTAGAGTGGCCACCGTGCCCACTGAGGCCTGCCCTCACCTCTCAGCCTTCCTGTCCCCTCATCTTAGGCTCTGCAGGGAGGACGCCCTGACTGCCTGCCTGCGTCCACACAGTGGCACGAAGCCCTCGTGGGTCCCCACGTGTGTGCTGATAGCAGGGGCGCATGTGCTCCCAGGACGCCGGCAGACCCCAGCACTCCCTCAGTGTTGGCTGAGTGAGAAGAGTGCCATCTGGGTGCTCGGGGCCCCAGCGGGCGGTCCCTCCTCCTGGCAGACCAGAGAGCCATCCCCTCATTACCAGGCCCCACCTTTTCCATGTGGGCAGAGGCTCTGAACCGTGGAGGTACGGCCTCTCCCTGTCCCAGGAGGGCAGAAGCCACTCACAGTCCCGTGCCTGCTCCAGGGTGGCATGATGAGAGTCCTGATCCGGAAAGTCAGGGAAAGTCTGCTGGGATCCTGGGTCCTCTGGGGGCTGTGCGCACCGTTCCACAGCGTCACTGGGCCTGACCAGACATTGTGTAGCTGCCAAGCCCATGTCTCTGGCCATCCACCGCCAGAGCTCACAGTTTAAGAAAATAAACCCTGCTGCTCACGCCACTGCTGGTGAGTTGTCTGTTACTCGCGGTCGAAGGCGGTCTTCCTGGAGTGACCTGTGGTCGGGATGTGCGGGGCACCTGTGCACGTGCAGGTGGGCTCCCGAGTGGGCCTGCGGTGTCAGACCTGTGTTCTCCAGGTGACTCCCACCACTCATGGTCTGGTTTGGGGGCTGCGCTGACTGTGCCCCAACCCCTCTGTGTGGGGGGGCTCCCCTCACAGGGCGGTAGTTTCCTCGGAGACCCCTGCAGCCACTGACGTTGGCATCAGGAGGGCCACCTGCACTGTGGTCTGAGCGGAGACACTGGTCCTTGGGGGCTGGGCATGCACCCCCGACACCTGCAGCTTCTCTCCCAGCGGGGCCTACGTTTCAGGCTGAGGACAGAGGCCCTGAAGCAGAGGCGCACTCTGAGCACCAGGTCCCAAGACTGAGCACACAGTTAGAGCCAACTGAATGCTCACACCTGCACGACCTGCAGGCACCTTCCCTATGCCTGTGGGCTTCCCTTGGTTAGTTCCCACATTTATTCACCACCTAGGGCCATGCTTAGTGCTGGGGCACAGGTCACCGGGGGGGACCCATTCCCGCTCCATGGCACCACCATCCCACAGAGAAAGGAGCAGTGACCCTGGGGTCAAAGACACGTGTGGATTTTCAGTGGCAGAAGCCTGCGGTGCTGTGGGTGGGGTGTGGAACGTGCCTGGGAAGGGGCCTGAGGGAACCTTGAGTGCTTCCAATGTTCCCCATCTTGACTGGGGGGGTGCGGACATGTGTGTGAAGCAATCGAGCTACATACTTAAGATGTGTGCACTTTATGATGTCGTGTATTTTATACTTCAATAGAAATAAACATTTAACGTGATGAATGCCACCGAGGAAGAGGACTTGTTCCTACAAGAGTAATCACTGCCCTAACCGGTTTGGCTGAGTGGATAGAGCATTGGCCTGCGGACTGGAAGGTCCCAGGTTCGATTCAGGTCAAGGGCATGTACCTTGGTTGCGGGCACATCCCCAGTAGGGGGTGTGCAGGAGGCAGCTGATCGATGTTTCTCTCTCATCGATGTTTCTAACTCTCTATCCCTCTCCCTTCCTCTCTGTGGAAAATCAATAAAATATATTTTTTAAAAAAAAGAGTAATCACTGGTGGGGGAAGGTAACTGAACCAGGCAGGAGGCTCCCCTGTCTGCTGAGACTGTCCCCTGAGTTCAAGCCCACATCTGCACCCAGAGTGGGAGAGGACAGTGGTCCTCCCACCCTCCCATTGCACGTGGGCTTTGCTGGGATGCTCTTGGGAGCAGAAACGTGTGCTTGTTTCTCAGCTGCGTTAGTGTGATGGCCCTCCTCCTGCAGGCTCTCGTGTGCACACACGTGCACGCACAGTATGCCCACACGAGCACACACTTTTATACACTTATCGTAGCCCCAGATGCTGCCATAATGTCCACTAGCCCTGCCCTGTCTTCTTTGCTGTTGATTTTAAAGTCAGCCCCTTTGTCCTCTCCCCAGGCCAGGACCTCCTTGGGCCCCATGTCCTCTGGAAGGAGCTGAGTGGGAACAGACAGACAGACAAACATGTTGCCTCACCCTGGCCGGTTTGGCTGTGGATAGAGTGTCGGCCTGCGACTGAAGGGTCCCAGGTTCAATTCTGGTCAAGGGCACATGCCCGGGTTATGAGCTTGATCCCCAGTAGGGGCCGTGCAGGAGGCAGCCGATCAATGGTTCTCTATCATCATTGATGTTTTTCTCTCTCTCCCTCTCCCTTCCTCTCTGAAATCAGTAAAGAAATATTTAAAAAACAACAACAGCCCTCGTCGGATAGGGTGTCAGTCTGCGGGCCGAAGGGTCCCAGTTCAGTTCCAGTCAAGGGCGGGTGCCTCAGTTGCAGACTCCTCCCTGGCCAGGGCCCTGGTCGGCGCTCATGTGGGAGGCAACCAATCGATGTGCTTCTCTCACATCGATGTTTCTCTTTCCCTCCCTTCCACTCTCCCTAAAAATCAGTGGGAAAACATCCTCAGGCGAGGATTAAAAAACAACAACAATAAAAAACATGTTGCCTCTGTGGGTCCCCTCAGGTGTGGACCCAAGACATGCTCCCACCACCCTCTCTGCTGACTCCTGGCCTCGCCTCTCTCACAAGTGACCAGAAGGGGGAGCAAGAGGGCACGTTTCCATGGAATATTTCATTTCGCCTCTTCTCCAAATGTTTTTAATTACAAAATTAGTGTGTGCTCATTAGAGCGCCCCAGATAATGCCTGCATCTCAGTCAGACGCAGGCAACGTAGCCTGTGTGCCCACACCACCTCCATGTCTACGCGAATCATACGTGTTCAACTTGGCTCTAATCTGCCTTTCCGTGGCCGATGAGTCTGGTCACCATGCTACCCCACGGCCGGGTGTAGGAGCAGCAGTAACAGAGGGGACCCCTCAGCCCCCTCCTTTGTGTGAAGACCCTCCACAGGGCGGTCACAACCGTGGGGCCCAAGGCATGCTCCCCCCAGAAAGGAGAGACCCCAGGGGGAAAGGTTGGGGGTGTTATCTGAGCAGACAGGCAGTCAGGGTCCTGCTGGAGAGAGCAGTCGGGGGGAGGGGGCGCAGGGTTCCATAGCAAGAGCAGTAACACTTTGCAAACACTCAGCAACAAGGAAGGAGCAGCCAATTCGATGCTGAGGGTCCAGAGCCTGCCGTCCCTGGGAAGCACCAATTCCTTGTTAGGTCTCCCCAAAAAGGAACTTATTGGGAAGGTGTTGGGAACTCCCAGAGGGGGAAAGAAGGCAAGCCCGGGGCACCTCAGAGGTGGGGGGCAGATGACTGGACACCCTTCCCTGGAGGTCACTTCTGGGCAGGAGGGGGCTGTAGGCCCAACAAGGAATTGGGTGCTCCCTGGGGATGGTAGGCTCCGGACACTCATCCTCTTGTGCGGTTGTGACAATAGAATGATAACTGGTGCAGAAGAACAATGTCTACTAACCGATCCCAGCAAAGGGAGGGGAGGGGAATGAGACACCACCCTGGCAGCCAGGGGCCGGATGCTGAGTGTTGTGTAGAGGACGGGCGGGGCGGGGGGGGTGCTGCTTCCTGGGTCCTCCTGCTCCTACCCTGCCCCCCTCTGAGGACATGTCCCCTGGGGAGGAGCCTGCTGACCTCAGTCCCTGAGAGTGGGCTCGTGGGGGGAGGGGCCAGGGAAGCCCTTTCTATAGAAGCTGAAGGGCACCGTGAGAAATGGTCAGCTTTTGTCTTCCTGTTCTCTGTGCAGAATTTTTAAATACCAATTTTAAGGTCTAAGCAGGCTGCTGCCCTCTCCCACACACTCACAAGCGTGCACACACACTCATGATGCACACACACTCGTGATGTGCACAATCATGATGCGCGCGCGCACACACACACACACACACACACACACACGACTTGAGCCCTGCGGTTCCCGGCACACCCCCTCCCCAGCCCAGCACTCCAGTGCGGGTGCCCAGCACTGTCTCTCCAGCCAATTGAATGTATCAGGGAGAATCCCCAGGGGCCCAGTGTGGCACCCCAGGGACCCCTGGCATGATCTCGGAGAGCACTGACGGGTGAAGCTTCTCCTGATTCTGTCACCCAGGGGTCTGGGTACCCACTGCCATGGGCAGCACCTGGGCCCCCGGCCATTATGTGTCCCCCAGAAACAGACAGGGTCACACCAAGCAGAGAGTTTATTGAGGTGCTGGACTGCGGGGAGTTTGCAGCGGCAAAGCAGACGCTGGTGTGGCGGGGCACGGGGCAGGGCACCCTTCTCTGAGCAAAGTCTGGGGCTTGGGATGAGCCTCAAGAACTACTAGCAACCCCAAGGCCCTTCTGGGGACCCCCTCCCTGCTTCCCCCTGAGCTCCGCATGGGGCAGTGTGGGGGTCCCTCTCTTTGTCCCTGTAGTCAGGGAAGGGGTGACCCCTGGAGATTCACTATAAAAATTAAAATTCCTTTTAAATTACTGGGGAGGGGCAGGAGGGACTACCTGGGAGCCTGATGCCACGGTCACCTAGCGCCTCGCCTTCCTCCACACCCCTCCCAGCTCTGACCCCAGAGTAAAGAGCAGAGGGCCGAGTTTGCAGGCACGGGGGGCAGAGACAGACAGAGAGAAAGAAGATCAGAGGGAAAGCGGGGGACAGCCCCTGTGGAGTGAGCAAGGAGAGCCCCCGAGACCCCAATCCAGTCCTTGCCAAAGCCGGCGGCCTCTGAGGTACCCGCCTCGCGGCACCTGCGCAGAGTGTGGGCGGCTACTCCAGGTAGATGTCCTCTGTGGGGCAGGCGTACTCCAGGTGCTCCTGGTAGTACTCCAGGAAGGCGCGGCTGGGGAGACAGCGCCAGCCACACCATCAGGGCCGCCCTCAGCTTCCCTCCCACCGCCTGGGCCTGCCCGTCCCGAGGGGTCACTCTTCGGTCGTCCTGGTCACTACAGGCCTTACCCCCCATTCCCACCCATCCTCCCACCCAGGCACTGTGCCTGCACCTTCCCACTCCCAGGATCCCCCCAGCTCCCGCTCAAAGTTCCCACCCACCTCTAGTGCTTCTCTTCTGAACTTCCCTTTCCCTGTCTGCCCAAACTGCACCCCCACTCCTTCCTCTGTCCCCAAATCTCACCTCCAGGCCCATCTCCCCAGCGGCAATCCTGAACCTGGTTGGCCCCGGCTGGTCCCACCCTAATCCCTCCAGCCCCACTCACCCCACACTCTGGGCCACAGGCCGCATCGACTCCTGGGAGACAAAGACGTGGCAGGCAAAGCGGCTGAGCAGAGGGTGTTTCGTGATGAAGCCGAAGTAGCTGGAGGGGCAGCGTGGGGCCGTCAGAGCGGGCAGTCACCTCGGCCCCCAGTGATCGGGCCCGAGGGCTCGGGCAGAGGGTGGGGACAGGGGAAATGTGTGGGTCACACGACTGAAGGATGCAAAGGCTCCTTCAGGGTCCAGCCCCAGCGCAGGCACCTCGGGGAGTGATGGTATTAGCTTCTCCTCGTCAGGGATGTCCAGCAGCCACTTCCTTCTGGGAGCCCGTGCTATGGCTCCACCCGGAGCCAGCCCTGGACCACAGACCACAGCGAGGCCTCGCCCCTGCCTTCCGGATGCATCTCAGCCGGATCACACCTGGCGTGTGTCACCTAACACCCTGAGCCTGGGGTCCTGCACACCCACAGCTGCTCTCCGAGCTCTAACGTGAGGCCGGACAGTGGCCCCCTCCTCAGCAACACCCTCTTCCTGGAGAACCTGGCACCTGGCTGTATTCATCTCGCCCCCGCCTGACTCTGCTTCATTTCTGCCTGTCCTCTCACCCAAGACATCAGTGAAAATCACTCCAGAGCATCCCGCAGCCAGAGACTCGAGACCCCCCACTGTGGCCAATCGATCCACGTTGATTGAACTGGGGTTTGTGGTTCCTCCAGGCGGGAACCCGTGGCAGCATCACAGCTGGTTGTCCATGAGCACATGGCAGCCTCGTCTCAGAGGCCCTGGTCAAAATCTCATACAGCCCTGGCCGGTGTGGCTCAGTGGACAGTGTCGGCCTGCGGACTGAAGGGTCCCAGGTTCAATTCCGGTCAATGGAAAAATATCCTCAGGTGAGGATTAACAACAACAACAACAAAATCTCATTCATAGTCGCCAACACCCAGATGCTGCTTACCAAGCACCGGGCACCATTCTCAGCACTTGAGATTATTCACTCCCGGGATCCTCACGGCAGCCCCATGAGACAAGGCAGCTACGGCACAGAGAGGGCGGGAAACTTGCCGAGGACACACAGCCAGTCGTGATCTCCAAGGCCTCATCCAAGCACAACGGGCCGCACAGGCCTGTTCTGCCACCAACCTCACCATGAAGCAAGCTAACCTGTCGGCAAATGTGACTTCCTAACTGTGTCAGCTCTGGGCCAGGCTGAGTCTCTCCTCCCCCACTGCCTCCACATCTGGATCCGGAACCACTGGTCTGACTGCCCTTTTCTCAAGGACTCGAACCTGGTCTCTTTCTAGCCTGGAGGCCCCAGCTGGGCAGCCAGTTTCTCTCTGTTGAGAAATAAGGGTGTTCTTGTTCCCCTGTGGTTGGTGCTGTCCTCGGCCCCCATCCACATGTCTGGTCTGAGCCCAGGCACTCTGTCCAGCCCTCCACTCCTCAGAGCAACCTCCACACGGTGGATCCCACCACACCGTCTCTGTCCTCAGTGGACGCAGCCAGACTGGCTCTGACCTGCTGGCGGTTGGCCTCAGCACCTGTTGCCAGCCCCGCCCCGGCAGCGTGTCCTTCCTCCAGCAGCCCGCATCCTTGTGAGCCCCTGGCGGCCTGTCTCTCTGGTTACCTCCTCTCATCTCCTTCCTCTAGGACATGGGGACCCAGTGGGCAGCAGTCGGGCTGGGCAGGAAGCCTGCACCCTCACCCCCGCTGGGGACAATGCTGGCACAGTCCCTCCCCTTTCATGCCTGCCACTTCTTGCTCTGCCTGGCTGTCTCGTGCCCTCATGGCCGCAGTCGTCCACCTGCTCTGAACTGAGACCTTCCCTCGGGTCTCTCCCACACCCCAGACCCACGTGACCCTGGCCGCCTCCACCTCGCTGCATCTGCGGATGAGCACGGTGCCTCCAGGCTGCCAGCCCTTGACCTGGCAAGTGGTTACTATCAGCCCTTCACCCAGACAGCACGTCTGTGGCTACCTCCATCGACCTGGGTCCTGCCAGTTCCACCTCCCCAGTGCCCCCAGGACACAACACCTGGATGACCTCAGCAGCTACCTGGCCCACACCTGGGTCCAGCCACTCTGCACAGCAGCCAGAGCCAGCTTGTCAACCCGACTGTGTCACCCTGTGGCCGGTGGGATCAAGTACAAGCTCCTTGGCATGGCCAGAAAGGCACAGGTACCCCTGTGTCCCTCCAACCACCCCCAGCTACTCCCTGAGAATCCCACTGCCCTTGCCCGCACCTGGCTCAGCCGCCTCCCTGGAAGGCCCCCTGTCACCATCAGACGTGCCTTCCGAGCATGCAGAGTGGTCTTTAGTCACCTCCTGAACCCCAAACCCCACCGCCTCTCTGCAGGTCTGCTCATGGGAGCCCCACACAGATGTCCCCCAGACCCCACGAGGCTTCCAGCACCCACTCATCTGTGTGCCTGTCTGTCTGCACCCGGACCAGATGGGAGCCTGTCTGACCTGTGTCTCCCGGGCCCGGGGGCAGCCCTCGGGGTTGGTGGGCCGAGGGGAGGGCTGAGGCTCTCACCAGCTGTTTCGAGGGTGGCAGCCGCAGAAGGAGATGTTCTTCATCTGGAAGAAGTGGCTGCAGTGCTGGAACTGGAGCCGAGGGCAGAGGCCGGTTAGACGGGCATCGCCCAGAGCCTCTCCTGCCACCCCGGCTGGACGTCCCTGTCAGACCCACCCGCCTCCCTGTGCCTCGGCCCCCGCACCCCACCTCAGGTCCACCGCTCAGACTCAGCTTGACCCCCCGAAGAGAAATCTCGAGGTCACAGGAGGCAGGGGGACGCAGGTGGACAGTCAGTTTCCGGGCAGTGGCGATCTGGGGGAGAAGCCAGAGGAGAAGGGGTCTCAGGGGCCTCTCGTCACTGGAACATCTTCGTTTGGGTTGCAGGTTCTCGGGGCTGATTCTGGAGCACGTGGGCCAGGGTCCCGGCCGTTTCTCAGTCTTGGCACCGCCAGTCACCTCTCTGCATTCAGCCTCCCTGGGCTTCCTTCCTGCCCTGCAGCCAGGACCACGCCCTCCCCCTGCCCAGCCCTCCCTGCCTGTCCCCATGGTCTGACTGGGGGTCTCAGGGACAGGACTGTCCTGCTCAACCACAGGACCAGCAGATGAGCTGCTGGTCACTAACTGCCCACTGAGTCCATGACGAGTGAGCAAATGACCCTCAGGAAGGCTCAGTGAGAGCTGGTCTGGATTTTCAGACAAGAAAAAGAGGATGGGCTACAGGAAGGTGGAGGCCCCACGGAACCTGCCCAGAGACACCAAGGTGATGAGGGACAGCTGTGAGCTGGGTGGGAGCTGCCCCCTGAGGCCCCTCTAACCCTCTGTGGAGGTCTGGTCCCTCTGGGGGTTCGGGGGCCCCACCTCACACTGACCTTCTGCATGGCTGCACATAGGATGCCGTTGCCCTGGTGACAGGGCACCTCCACGGAGCCCAGGAACTGCACATCGAAGCGTTCCACCCAGCAGGGGCTCCGCTTGCTCCCTGGGGGTCACAAGGGGCCCAAGTCAGGGGAGTTGAGGGTCTGAGGGGACAAGATGCTCCTTGGAGACAGGCCTCACCCAGCAAGTCCTTGGCAGGGCCGGGCACCGCGTGGGCATAGAAGGCAGGGAAGACCCCGCGCTCCCCTGTGCGCATGTTGAAGCCGCGGAACCAGAAGTCGTCCTCCTCAGCCTCCACCAGCACCGGGTCATCCACGTCCAGCTCCAGCTCATCAGGGTGGCGAGGGATGAACCTGCAGGCCAGGGGCGGGTGG